TTCTTAATAAGCCAGTCTAGTCTTTCATTCTATAGACAAAAGAGACCTGGGGAAAGCCAAAAGAGCCATGAAAAGGTCATACAACTAGTTAGGGTCAGGACCATTCTCCAAGTTTCTTTAATTCTAGCCCAGTTATTCCAAACCTTGTGCTTCCATAATCTGGCAGAATTATTGTAACAAATCCAGACCATGTTTTTTTTTTTTTTTCCCCTCAACATGTATTGGTGTGCACAACCCTTATCCCTGAATTAGAACATACAACATTCTTTTTAATACCCATGTAGTTACTAAGCCCTTTACTATGTGTTCCATACATGTGACTTTTCTTTCATCTTATCAAGTTTATTTATAAAATGAATCATGTCAAATTTTTAAGAATGTTCAAATTTAATTCAGAAATATATTTAAATTATATTTAACTCATATATTTAATTCAGAAATACTTTAATTCAGGAATAATTCCTATATAAATTTCACTAGAAAACAAATGTAAATTTGGACTTTTTCTTTGGTTTCCACATCATTTTATTTTCTATTATTTCTACTATCGTTAGACATCTATTGCTAATCAGCATTTATAATTGATTTGATTATTTAATTATTTAATCAAAGTCCAAAATATTTTCCTAGGATAAACTGATGCTCATTTTTCTTTCTTTGTTTTTTTTTTTTTGGTACCAGGGATTTTAACCAAAGGGTACTTGACCACTAAGCCACATCCCCAGCCCTTTTTATTTTTTGAGATAGGGTCTTGCTAAATTGCTTATGGCTTCACTAAATTGCTGAGGCTGGTTCTGAACTTGTGATCTTTCTCTCTCAGCCTCCTGAACTGCTGGGATTACAGGCAAGCAGCTGGGATTATAGGCGTGGTAGCCTGGCTAATTTTCATTTCTGAAGTTGTGCATGAAGAAACAATGGCAGAGAAGTCATCAAGAGAAATGTATTTCACAGTTTGCCCCATGAAGATATATTTACATTCCCTTTTAGATTAGAATACTAGGGTGCATATTTATCTTTTGACAAATGCCTAGGAAAATAACCTTTACATTAATAGGCTAAGTCAGTCAAGCTTAGAAAAGAGAATTACTAAATTCAATTAGATTTAGTTCTTAAAGTTTAAAAAGACATGGAGGAAGAAAAACTAAGAGATTTGATGTTAAGACACCTTACCTATTGGCACAGAGATCTTCCTTTTCTTGAAGTTTGGTTTAAACACAAAACAGCCCTTAAAAAAGAAAAAAGCATAAAGTCAATGTAGCCACAGAACTGACAAATCTGATTAACCAAATATTTTATGGCTTTTTTATAAAAGATATTTATTTCAGGTTCTAAGAAATCACATCATGTCATTCTGAATTACAGAAGGAAAATCTTAAAACAACCATCCATTCCTTTATCCTTCTTCCTATGGAATGCTCTGGTAGATCTTTAGGTTTACTCTTTGGGACCTACTCTGATAGACAAAGGAAATAAAAGCTGATGAAACTGATTTCCAGAAAGTTTCCATTTTAATAAAATTTAAGACTATGTTGCTGGTGTCCTAAGTCACAGGGGCCTTATCTCAGGGAGTCCCAATATGTGAGGTTTGGTCACTTGCCCCAAAAATCAAATGAAAAAGGCAATAAAGAAGGAAAGGAATTTTATTTATTACAGCCATACTGGGAAGACAAGGGGAAGCAAGTATCCTCTGCCAGGTCTTCTTGGGTACTAACATGAGCTTCAGGTTTAAACAGTAGACCTTATAAAAGAGTAAATATGCACAGTTAAGCAGTCTTGGTTAAACTGTGATCTGGTTTGTCATTATCTCAGGTTCTGTGAAGTTCTGCTGACTCCAGGGGAGTCATTATTACTTGAGGAAGCAATTTGGTTTCCATTAAAAAATGACTGCTTCTATTCTGTAGGCAGACTTAGTTGCTGTCACAGGATAACTGGTTCTGCTTAGGGGGTGCAGTCACATTGTGGGACAATCTTCCTGAAATGTCCAACAATCATAAAAATATCTTAGAAACTATTATCTTGGTGTCTTTAGTCTTGAAGAGGGCCAAGAGATTTTAGGCAAATTTAGGACTAACTGACCTTGTACTACCAGTTTTCAGATGGACACTCCTTAAGTGATTAACACATCTATACAGAGTTGAATAGGAATATGACCAAAAGTTCAAGATTATAAAGGTGGCAGGCAGAAAAACAAAAGCAGTAATTCCTAACAATTTATCCTTTTAGTTACCCATCAGACACCTTCAGGCCCAACTGAAGAGTCAATGCTTTTAAGTAAAAGCATCTTCTAAGACCTTATTACAAGAGGAGAAATAACATTAAGATGAAGATCAAGAAAATTGAAAGTAGGGCTGGGATATAGCTCAGTGGCTCAGTGCTTGCCTAGCATGTGCACAAGACCCTGTGTACAACAGTAGCACTTTACCATTCCAAAAGAAGTCCTTATTATTTAACTAAACTCTAAGTACTTAGAACTTTGACAAACAAATAGAAAACTCTGACTACCATTTCATCCTACAACTTTCTTCAACCAATAAAAGTCTTATTAATTTATCCACTAAAGTTTGACTCAAAACTAACCTTGTCTGTGAAACCTTTCCCAAGTCCCTAGTGAGAAATGTTCCTTTCCTTAGATCTCACAGTACTTTAACATCTTCATTTGGCTTTGTTTTGAATCACTTTCACTGTAAATCAATTATTTTGGGGTGTATCTCTCCAAGTAAATAGTGAACATCTTCAGAATAAAGACTGTATTTTATTTATAATTATTTCCTCAATATTTAGAATAGTGCTAACATGTACATTAGGCAGTCAGTATTTAGAAGGAATGAATGTTTGCAAATTAATGTTCTTGGCAATTTCATAACTATATTCATTGGAATTATGTACCACTGGTCTAATGTAATAATATACTGATCCTAGTGTATCCTACCAATCCTAAAGTCACACTTTATAAATACCTTCTTAAAGATTTCATTTATATGGAAAATTAAAAAAAGAATAAAAGAAATTTACCTACAAAGTCATCTCAGGATAGTGTAAGAGATAACTGTGCAAAATATAAAGTGGCCATTTGGATTCCAGGTTCAAATTTAAAACTGTGCCATATGTTCTTATTTTTGCAACTAGTGGAGCTATGTGAAATACACATTTTTAGGGCTGGGGATGTGGCTCAAGCGGTAGCACGCTCACCTGGCATGCGTGCGGCCCGGGTTCGATCCTCAGCACCACATACAAACAAAGATGTTGTGTCTGCCGAAAACTAAAAAATAAATATTAAAATTCTCTCTCTCTCTCTCTAAAAAAAGAAAAAAAATGTCTTGGTGTTTGGAACAAAAATAGTGCCTACTATTATATAGCATTGTGAACTCTTTAAAAAAAAAGAAATATACATATTTAGAAAAATCATATGGTATAATGACAAGCTTGTCATTTCATCCTTTCCATATGGACCTACAATACAGTAAAGGAAAGGTGCTCTTAAAGAAGCAAGATAGGAAGAGTACTTAGAATGGATTCTAATATCAGGCAATGGTAGTAATATGGTTAATCACTTTGAACTGCTAGTAAAGTGATGGTGTTAGATACGAAGGAAGAAATCTAGAAGGAGGGCAACAGCCACAAAACATCATAATATGACAGAGAAGTGAAAGTACTTAGAGGTTAAAAAACAAAATGACAGAAACTTCATGTATCTGTTCTGACATGGTAGTCATGGTCACATGCAGTTATTAAGTGCTTGAAATGTGGTAGTACAAATGAGAAACTGAATTTTTATTTTTTTTTTTTATTTTTTTTTTTTTTTTTTTTTTAGTGAGAGAGATAGAGGTAGAGAGAGAGAGAATTTTTTTAATATTTATTTTTTAGTATTTGGCGGACACAACATCTTTGTTTGTATGTGGTGCTGAGGATCGAACCCGGGCCGCACGCATGCCAGGCGAGCGCGCTACCGCTTGAGCCACATCCCAGCCCCGAGAAACTGAATTTTTAAATTAAATATTACTTTAAATTTAAATTTAGCCACACGTGGCTAGTGAATACTTCACAGGACAATACAACTCCAGAATCTATCTTCTTGCCCACTACACTTTGACTTGCAAACCCTTACCACCTAGGTTTACCATATGAAGGAGGTCTATATGATCCCGCCCCCACACCTGCATTACTTTTCCAATCTCATTTTCCCTAATGTTCCTGCTTTCTCCAATTTTGATGACACTGACTTTGCAATTTCTTTACAATACTTTATTTTTTGCTGTCTATTCCCTGCCCTCCCTCCCCTCCACCGCCAAAGAAACATGTTCTCTCTGTTCTCCTTCCTCAAAACCCATGCCTGACAAACTTCTAGTCATTTTTTTGTAGGTCTCAGCCAAAGTGTCAGTTTCTCCAAAAAGTCTTCGCCAACCCTTAACAATCTATATTAGGTTCTTCTCTCTCGTCCATCTCACTCAGAACTTTTTTCTTTCACAAGTGATCATCAGCCTGTTAGTGTCTCTCTTAAGTGCAGGAACAAGTCTAATTTGTTTACCTCTGTATCTCGGTACCTAGCGGAGTGCTTTGGCGCAACAGTAAACATGAAGGAAAAAGTAGGGGAGAACGGGGCACATTCTCTGGGCATCCGACCTCCACGAATCAGGACTTAAAAGCCCACTCTGGTTGCATTGCAAGGCAGACTAGCGACCTCATTGGCCTCAACTAAACCTGAGGCAAAGACGCCCGAACTGTCTGCCTCTCCCTCCCATGGAGCCAGGGAACAGAGAGGACTGCATAACCTCCACTAAATCCCTTCTCCAAAGAGGAATGAGGCGGCGGTGAGGCCTGGGTGAGCACCCGCCCAGACGTACCTTGGACACGGAGGACGTGGCCATGGTCCTACCGCCCGGCAGGTTGCGGATACACTCAGGATTTCCCGCGCGCCCTCGCGGCAGCGGGGCAAAGGTTAAAGGCGGGCTGTTCGGCTCCTTGATTAGCTGGCGTGGCCGTCCGGGGCTGGCTTCCGGCGTGCAGAGGCGGGGCGTTAAGAAAAGGGAGGAGCGAGGCCAGAGCCAGACATGGCGTGTGGCTTCCGCAGATCCATTGCCAGCCAGGTACGGATCCCGGAGCGGGCGGAACAGGGACTCCGCGAGGCGGGGGACCCCAAGCTCATTAGCAGCTGCGGCCAGTCACTCAGTGGGAGGGTCGGTTCCGCGAAACTCTGTTTGTTTCTGCAGCTTCATTCCCTTTTCTCTCGAAGTGCAGAGGCGCGTCATGTGGAGGGTCAGGAATAAGGCAGAGATCGTTTTCTCATTGTGAAAAGTAAACTTTGAAAGGTACTTGTTGCTTCCCTCGCTCCTTTTCTTTTTATTTTTTTTAAATGTATTGTTTAGTTGTTGATGAACCTTTATTTTATTTTTATATGGTGCTGAGGATTGAACCCAGTTCCTGACACATGCTAGGCAAGTGCTCTACTACTGAGATACAACCCCCGCCCCCCCCCCCCCCCCCCCCGCTTTCAATCCACGTTTTTCCATGTTTTACTTGGGTGATGCACTACATAGATAGAATGTCTTTGGGCCATGATTAAACACCAAAGAAATGAATGCTCCACACACTTAGTGAAGTTGATAATGGATCTGAATTGCTATCAAAAGGATCTAGCATAAAAGCTTGTTGTTTCTCTTGCAGTAAGTTAGGACAATTTACCCTAGAAATATTTTGGTAAATCCCAAAAGTAAATGAGACTGTGCCTTTTTGATTTGGAGGCATTGATGAGTAAAAACTGCAGAATAAATCTGGAATTTATTAAAAAGAAATTTTAAAATTCACTGAATATCATTGTAATTTTGTTGCAAGGAAAGTTTCCATGTGGCCTTGACAAATTCATTTCCTTTTTATTAATGACATATTTTGCCTGGTATGTAATTTACTTTAGCGCATTTTCACTGTTTGTAGGCATTTTGGGGAAATCCTTCTGTCTTTGTCTAAAAGCTTATAGGTGTACTGCTGTGTCCCTTGCTAGCTCCTCTAATACCACCTTTTAATAAGTCAAAGCTGAGTTTATTGCTTGCTGGGGTAAGGCAAAACACCACCTCATCAGACTGCTCCTAGTGCCTAAATTGGAAAAGCAAGATCAGATTTATTGAGAATCTGATGTATGGGATAAGGCTGATCTTTCAGCAGCAGAGTATGGGAGGGGATTGGGTCTGAAGGCTCAATTAGAACTGGATACTGATCTTGATAAAACAGTTTGTCATTGGTGGAAAGAGCAAGGCAAGGTGTGCAAGGGTTCTTACAACATAAAGATGCTTTCTATTAAAGAACTGAGATTTTCCATAAAGCTCCTGTGAACAATCAAGTTATTTAGGCAGCAGTCTCCAGAACTGTTACATTATGCTGATGTTAATATAGAGAGTAAACTATCTCTGAGGTAGGTAGTTTGAGTCCTCAGTATTCAGTAGATGCTTTGTATTCTCAACCCACAGGTCAAAATAGTGCTATGATCAGAAACATAATTGTTTTTAGTTTTGCAAAGGTTGTATTCTTTCTCATAAAGAAGGTAAGATGGAGGATGGGAATAAATAGTTATTAAGCTACTTTGACTTTTTTAAGCCCATGGTAACCCTGTGGTGTAGTTTACATAATATTATTATGTAATTGAACACATTGAGATCTAGAGATATTAAGTAACCTACCCAAGGCCACGTGGATAGTAAATTAAAGTGATTTTCTGAACTGAAATCTGTCTAATTTAAAAACCATTTTTTTCTATAAATTGCTGTTTAGTTTGTGAAATCAAGAAGCACAATCTAGTCACTAAAAAGAATTTGTGCGGGCTGGGGTTGTAGCTCAGTGGTAGAGCACTTGCCTACCATGTGTAAGGCACTGGGTTCAAGTCTCAGCACCATATATAACTAATAAAATAAAAGTCCATTGACAACGAAAAAAATATTTAAAAAAAGAATTTATGGATATATATGGCATCATAAATTAACCAAATATGTATTTATCTGAATATGGAGTATTTGAGGGATTGAGTAAAAGTTGAGGATAAATAAAAATGAGGAGCTCTTTGCTAGTTGAGGAATGAAGGAAATATTATATGCTATGACACAACTATTCAGCAGACTTTGAATAATGAGTCTAGAGTTTTCTAACAACTATCCCAAAGTTGAAAGTGAATGTTTTCTGCCCTGGAGTGGCTCCAGACCAGCTTGGGGAACAGATGTGAACAGATAATTGCAGTGCACTCTGTAACCACTATATTAGAAACATATGCAAAAGAGAACTTAAGAAGGCTTTATGTCAGGGGAGGCTTTGTGGAAAACAAGATGCTGGGGCTTCATCTTGAAGGGAGAATGAGTAGCAGTGTGCCAAGTGAATAGGAGGTTGGCAAGGTGTAGGTGTTCTAAGAAGAGAGGGTGCAGACATAATGACATATGGAAAGCAGGTATATTCATGCAACCAGAGTATTTGGATATGACTAAAATTTAGATTATACTTCACCTCAGCAAGTTCTATTAGTTTTAACTTCGGAAATACATCTTGGAGCCAAACAGTCTTTCCCATTACTGCTCCTTCCTCTCCCTATCCCAAACCAAGCCACCATTATCTACACTGACTTCTTATGGGTTTGTTTCTATTTATTCCTCCCTTTCATCCATTTTACATATATCAAAAAAGTGACTTTTAAAATGTAAATCAAATCATATTACTTATCCTTCTACATTTCACAAACTCTACACCAGAACTTAAACATCTTTTTAAATTCACGCCTCTCTATTCTTTCTGTAAGGTCTAACCAAAATGTTATTTTCTATCTCTTTAACCCACCAAGGTCTTTTCATTCTCATTGCATAGATAATTCCCTGTGTCTAAAAGAAATGCACTTTGCATATGCCATAACCCATTTTGCAAGATAAAGGTTTAACAAACAGTACTTATAATGTGTACGTGTTCACTTTTTTTACTTTATACTACTTCATTTTTCAAAAATGGTAGTTGGAACTCATTGGATTTATTCCCAGCTGATGACATATAATTTAAGAGTATATCCTCCAGTTCTCCATCTCAGTCCCTTGTTTGCTTCTATAATAACATTATAAGTGAGTAATTATTTTGTTTTGATGTATATTTCCTCTATAATATTTTTTGAAGACAGAGAACACTTCTTATTCATTGTTATTTCCCCCACCTCAGCAAAGTGCCTGGAACATAGAAGATATACATACCTGAAGAATGAATATGAGAATATATATTGAGATATAATATAAAAACTATAATTTCACCGTATGAGTTCATGATTTTAAAGTGAGATGACATGGTAATAGTGAAAAGAACTAAAATTCCAGCCCTATCACTTGGGTGACAAACTCTTGGCAAATTAACCTGATGGCTGTAAGATGATGGTGTTGATTATGAGTTTATGGATTGTTACATAAAATTAATAGTGTGGTGATATAAGTGTTAGCTACTATTTATGTAATGCTTGTAACATGGAGTGTTTTGCATAACTTTAGGGCTATTGATAAGATTTAATGAAGTAGGGCAAGGTGGCATAAAGCCAGCAACTCAGGAAACAGCAGCAGGAGGCTTGCAAGTTCAAGGCCAACTTGGGCAATTTAGCAAGACCCTGTCAAAAAATAAAAATAAATTTTTTTAAAAAAAAAGGAGGGGAAACTGGAGATTTCAGCTCAGTTTTAGAGCATCTTTGGGTTCAATTCTCAGTGTACACAGGGGTGAAAAAAAGATAAAAGTTCTGTTAAGATAATATTACAGAAAGTGCTTCGTGTCAAGAACTGAAGGGTCTGTGATTTTAATTTACATGTTAACCTACCATAGTTCAGAGATGGTGGCAGAAAACATGAGACTTTATTATTCATAGCAATAGCAATAGCTGGAGTATGAACATTACTAAAGCTTTGGCATTAGTAAGTTTAAGTTCAGCTTGTTCTTTTATTAACCTTTAATTTTGAAGTAATTTCAAACTTACAGATAATAGTACTGAGATTTCCATATCCTCTAGATTAACTAGGTTGGCTGATTATTGACATTTCACATTTGCTTCATCATTCTGTCTAGATTATTTTTTCCTGTTTCATTTGAGAGTGGGATTCATATACATGCTCCTTTACCTCTTGATACATTATCATTTTTAAGAACAAATCTCATCTGACATATCATTAGTACAGTTATTAGATTCAGTGACATTGATATAAAACTTTAATTTTCAGTCTACATTGCAGTTTTGTTGATTTTTCAAGTGTAGTATCGCAAATTGCATTTAGTTGTCATGTAACTGGTACATTTTAAGTAGCCTTAAGGTCTCTTCATTAACTTTTATCTCCATAATTTAATAAAGAAGATACACTGCTAACAAGCAAATGGGAATACAAGCCTCTTTGACTCTACTGACAGGTTTTATTATCAGCTTTTAGGTGTGGCCTCAAGAAGCAATTAAATTTGATGATCAATTATTGTCATCTAGTTCTGAGGTGAAATTTTGGGAAGATATTCATCCACATTCAGGTCAGCAACAGAATTGACTGAATTATCTAGGTATATGATTTGAGTTGCTATGATTTCAATGAGCACCTCCCTCCCAAAGACCTATATGGAAAGGTTTGATTCCCCAAAGTGACAGTATTGGGAGATGCTGTGAACCTTTAGGTGGTAGGAGGTTGTTCGTTAGGTTATTGGAGGCTTATCCTCATAAGGGACTGTGGGACTGTAGGCAGTCCTCCCTCTCTTCCCATCCCTCAACCCCTTTCCTGGTGTGAGATATAAGCTTTTGTTCTATCCTCTGCTCCTACCATGATGTGCCCTCATCAGAGGCTTAAGTCAGTGAGCCACCCATCTTAGACTCAAACCTCCAGAACCATGATCCAAAATAATCTTTCTTACCCAAGTAACCTGTGTCAGATATTTTATTATCCTGATGTGAACCTAATACACTTACTCTCCTATAGCCCACTAGCATTCAGTTCTGCTTAAAATCACAAGTATGAAAGTGATGCTGTTTTTTTCATTTTAAGTAATTGGTGATAACTTGCCCTCCAAGTCCTTTGGGAAGTTCCCTTCTGAACTGTAAAGTTTGCTTGATTCTTGTTTG